ACTACATGAAAATGAAAATTAATGAATACACTGTGTACAGTAATTTACCTGATAAGACAGACCTCAGAAAAATACTTTATGAGAGCTTTTATACTTTTATAAAGCTGTCTATAATGAAAATTAATTAACTAAGGATTTTTTTGCCCTGCCAGGTGAGGCCGAGTTATCCGGAGTGCCGGGTTATCGAGAGCCGAGTTTTCGAGGTTCCATTGTATTTTAAGAAGGTGATTATGGTTTAAATTTTATAAATTTTTGAAAAATTTTTTATTGTATAATTGAAGTGTGTGATAAAATACCTGCCGACAAAGGGGAAAAAGTTGCAAAATATATGAAAATATTGCATGCGGGCAAAATAAAAGTTTATTCTTTTGAACCAAGAGGCCAATCAAATCTCTAATTTCGTCAGCAAATTAAATCAGTACAATAGATTATAGTCACAGTAGACTAATATTAAATAAAATAATGCTTCTAGGCCTCTAAATATTAATTAATTAAGAAAACTTGTATCTTAAATATGGTAATGCAACCGGAAAGAAAATATTTACCCGTTAAGTTCATGTGTGCAGTACTTTATCTTCTGTTTCCGGAACGATCGGCTTGGCAATGCCAAATATAACAAAACTCAGACATCCCAAAACATTCAACAGTGCGGTCAAATTGAAAACAGTACTCCAACTTTCCGAAGTCTCTAAAATGTAACCGGCCAGATACACCCCGACAAAACCTGAAAGAAAACCAATGTTTTAAAATTATCATGTTGTTTTACATATATCATCAAGACATATGCTTTATACTGTTAGTTATATCATTACAGAATTTACTAAATTTCTGAGATTTGTGCAATATTGAAATGAAAAAAAAAATGATACATGAAAATATTCTAAAATTTTTATATTTTGAAAATAATGTAATAGTCTAAAAATTTTTAATTAAAAGACTTCATACTTGTGATATAATGCAAAGTATAAAAATTACAAGGTAAATTTAGATTTTTTAAAATAAAACTTTAGGCTCCAATATTAGCATAAAAAGAAACCTCACAAATGAGAACAACAAAAGGCTTAGATATTATATTCAAATAGTTAGCAAAACATTATGAATTTAAAGATTTGTTGTTTTAAATGAAAATTTGATATGGCATGTGCTTTTTTTTAGCTTTTTATTTGCAATGAACAGTTCTGAGAATAGAAGCAAGAACTGGCAATCTTGCAACTTTAGCAGTCGATGGCATTCCGTTGTCAAGGTATAGGACTCCGTTTCTATTATTTTTATTTTTGGGTAATGCTCCATGTTTTCGAACCATGCAGTATTACCCAAAAATAAAAATAATAGAAATGGCAACCATTCAGACTGGTAAAGCACAATGAACCGAGTGGAGGGGGAGACAAAATACAGTATCCATTAATGACAAATGTTTTAAAATCAAACAAACTCAAAACAGATGACAACCAAGTCACTAAGTCATTTGGGTACTAATGAGGTGCTCTCTAAGAAAAGTAAGAGTGGAAAAAAGAACTAAACTTTAGGAGTTGGAACACTTATCACAAGTACAGAAATGTTTTAAAACTAATAAATACAAATATACATCCACAACTGCCATAAATGATTATTGCATATTTGCAATTGTGGATTTATATTTGCTTCACACCAACCAATGCCAAATATTATCGGGCTAGAAACTGCTATAATAGTTTCTAGCCCGATAATATTCGGCATTGGTTGGCATGTAGCTTTAAAAAAAAACAGGTTTAGTGATGATGTTTCTTTGAATATTTGCTTAATATCAGGTTTCGATTGGTGTGTGCTAATAAGTATGTAGTGAAATTAACTTTCGTAATGTACCCACCAGTTCCAAATATTTTCTTTAAGAAAAGAAATAATTTGTCTTCTCCCATCATTAAATAANCTGGATCTAGTTTTGAGAACTCTCTCGAGTCGATCGAGATTGAACCTCGTTTTAGTCGAGATTGAAACGGTCGATGGAGGTTGCACTAGGCGGGGTTGCTTAAGGCTCTAGTTTAGTAGTGTTACGGAGTATAATACGTATATTTTAATATATTTTTTAAAAGAAACAAAATCACTGAGAAATGTTACGTGTTTAACAACGGGTTCGGCCGAACCTGTGCGAACCCGCTGAATATCACCACTGGGCATGATTGTGTATGGACAGGAAGGAACGAAGAAAGTTCCTGAATGAATGATTTGTAGGACTATAGTCTCCTTTTTGCCACAACTCACCCTTTTTGGATTATGAGTCTGAGGATATGTATGTACAGTAGACATAAAGCAATTTGGCTAAGACATAGTTAGACCAGAGGTGTGGAACTGGCAACAATCTGCATGACAAGCAGGAGTTGGGGTTCAAGTCCCACTCCAGGCCAATCTTTCTTCCAAAATATTCTAAATTCAACTTAATGATTAGAAACACATTAATTTTATAATTGCTTTATGCTGCCTTCTTAAGATTAGAGAGAGAGAGATGGTTATAATAATCTTTACATTAGTCTATTATTTTTCCATTACTCAATAAATAATCCAGCGGATTGTTTGTTTGTCAGACACTAATTTCTCTAAGAGATTTTGGCACCATAACAAAAAATGGGAGTTTAACTTTCACTGTCTCCATCCTATACCGCTAGGTATTGCTACCACTATGGTGATTGTACAGAATGGACACAGCCACCTGACTTCTCCTTTTGGGGATACCTGAAAGATCATATGTATGCTATGGAACCTTTCACCACGGCAGATTTAACGGACTGCCTATAATTCTGTGACTCCTGTAATGCTGCATGCTGTTTGAGATGTTTTATCCTAAATCCAGAAGTGCATCATCACTGATGGTGCATACTTTGAACACTGTACCGTACATTATTTGGCAGGCTAATTGAACCTGTCCTGCACAAACTTTGCATTATGTCTGTATTGTTTTGTGCGTAAATATTTACTACTTTCTTAATCTTTTTTGCTAAAACATTTTGTAATTGAATTTTTTGTCTATCTCTGTTGATTTCCAAGTTAGTTTTCTTTAGTTCTGTATTTTGCCACTAGGGATGCTAAAATCACATTCAGTAGACTATGCACAGTTGCTTTCCTACAGATGCTGATAGTTTGATGCTCTAATAACCCTGTATTATAAGTATCTGTGATAGAACACAACTGAGCATCTTTCTTTCATTTGTATGAATTGTGAGGCCAGGACCTCACTCTTTGGATGGGAAACTGGCTGTCGAATCAGTGTCAATAAACTGGTGATTTATTTTTGTAAATAGAACTGGAGCCATGAAGTAATGACGTGTAATACAATTTAATTGTTGCATTCCAAGATCTAGTTGAGAGATCCCCAATTGTAGATTGTGATGGTGAGCATGAGATTGACATCCAGGGAAATTTTGATGGTCCCCTTACAGAGTTCAAAGCAGAAAATGCAAGTGTTCCTTTGGAGGGGGTGGTGGCTAGGACTGTGTGAACCCAGCTGTGCCTTCTCCAAAATAGGAGAAAAACACATTGACAGAAATTTATGGGACAGTCGCTTGAGAATGAGCATGACCCGACCCCGGGGGAGCGGTCCGGGCAGGGGTTTTGAGAACCATGCAGCACGAATTGCATCCCTAGCAACAGATGGAGAGCAATAGAGTTATGGGAGACTACCATTTCAGACCAATTAAAAAGCAGGATTTCAGGCAAAGATGGTATAAAAACCCATAGGATGATTAAACACGCATTTGAGGCCAATCCTACAGCGTTTGTAATTCTCTCCAATATCTTCTTGAACACTGGCCTTTTTCCTACTCAGTGGAAAAAGGCTAGTGTTAAATTGATTTCCAAACCCACCAGCACTAACACTTACAAAAAATACAGACCAATCTACCTTCTCCCAACTCTGGGAAGTGTTAGATGGTCTAATGATTAATAGGATCATTTGGCATCTACACAAGCATAGAACCTGCACCAGAATCAGTTTGGCTTCTCTAAAAACAAAGGTACTGTAGTAATTCAAACACAAATTATTATTGTATTTATTTTCAGGCACTTGGCAATTTTTATCATCAAATTTTATTTAGTTGATACGTGTTGATATTATTTACACACGTTTTGGGCATTTATTACCCCTCCTCAGCCAACTAAAAACAAAAGTTCATAAGTTACAACACTATAAAATTATAAACAACAAACATATTAGGTATTGTTTTTTAAAAAAACATACCTTTTTAATTTACAGGTTATCAAGATATTAAAACCACAAATTTCCATTGCCTTTGTTTACTTGTTGTTATGGAATTACAAAAACTTCTTGGCCCTTAACACTCTTTATTTTAAGAAACATACGGTTTCGTATTATCTAAAATATTTTAAAAACCTTTTTTATATGGATTTTCTCTTATACATTTACATGATAAAAATTGCCAAGTGCCTGAAAATAAATACAATAATAATTTGTGTTTGAATTACTACTAATAACTACTAGCACGGTTTCAAAGTACCACAAAAAGGTACTGTAGTTGCCATCCACCAGGCTAAGCTTAATAATCAGCATATGGCAATAATCACTATTGACTTTAAAGGCATCTTTGATCATGCCTGGTGGCCTTCTATCTTGCACATATTACACACTCATCACTGCCCTCAAAATCTTTACAAACTTCTTCAATCTTATCTTAGTGACAGGAGTGCAGGTGTTTATACAACACAAAATAACATAATCATACCCATCACTTGGAGCTGTCCTCAGAGATCCAGGTCTGGTCCTAGTCTCTGGAACATAGCCTATAACTCTATCCTGCAGTTAAATGACATCCTGCCTCCTGGCTGCCGCATATCGGGCTATGTGGATGGCACAATTATTCTAGCTTCACACAGGAACAGTGAATGCTTACAGGACATATGCAATGACATTCTCAATAACATTAACCAGTGGAGTATTAAGCATAGGCAACCCATTAACACAGACAAATGTGAAAGCATGATAGTTGGTAGGAACGCACCACTTGTCAGGAAGCTTAGCCATCGAATAGGTGCTCACAGAATAAAGCAAACGACGAAAATTAAATATTTAGGCATTATTCTTGACGAGAGATGTCACATCCTACATCAAGTACATCACAGACAAAGTTAAAAAGATGGCCAACACCCTCATTAGTATTGCTAGGAACACATGGGGCCTGGACCCTACTGCTACTAAGCTTATTTACAGGGGTGCAATTCAGCCAGCATTTCTGGTAGCCTCGTGGCCCCAGTCCTGTATGGCATAAAGTCCATAACCATAAAAAAAATGTTATCTGTTGAAAGGATTGCAGGCTTATAGGACCGCATCCACTAGTGCCCTTTTGGTAATGTCAGGGTTGACTGACCCCTATCGACTTAGAAATTAAATGCATTATTTGGCAGGAAAATCTCATCACCTTACCCTGGTGAGATTATAGTGACTCAGATGTCGACAAAATGATTAGAGTAGGTAAGATTCCCCCAGTTTGACCTTGATCGATGATATCAAAAAATTCAGCATTGACAAAAATACCATCACGACTTACAATTACCACCCCTCCCACAAGCTTGCCCCTGACGTTTACTTCAAAGATCCAGGTGATCATCCCATGTTTAGGATTTACACTGACAGTTCCAAGATGGGTGACAATGTGGGTGCCGCTTTTGTAGTTTAGTCCAACTTAGGCCAGCCATGAATGCCACAACGCTTGCTTCCGTCTAGGTACACAGTGCTCAGTAGCACAGGCAGAATCTTTAGCTATTTATATGAGCTTAATTTGCATTAGGCGTAGAAAGGACAAAAGACACTACTTACACTATCGCATTTATTCTGACAGTAGGGTAGCTTTACACAGGATTGTGAAGTCTGATGGTCGCTTAAAACTCGTCCATCTCATACACCACATTCTCAGATACTTAGACAACAACATTACAATAGATTTCCAATGGGTCCCAGGTCATGCGGAGGTTCTCGGCAACAAGACCACTGACCATCTTGCCAAACAAGCTGCAAAGTCTTCAGTCACTAGTACTTTCAGTTACATTCCTACCTCATACATCGACAATCACGTCAAGAAGCAAATCTTCATTCTCTGGCAAGACAGCTGGGACCGTGACATCACTGGTAGACTCACCTACACTTTCATCCGCAAGGTTGACACTACTGTGATTATTCGTCACTTTTACCCTAGTTACACCATCACTCAGCTACTTACAGGACACAGCAACTTTAAGCAATACTTGCACAGATTTAACCTCGGGGACAATCTACAATGCGATTGTGGCATTCTGGAGGACCAAACACCACTTCACTTAGTTTTTTGCTGCAATAGGTGCAATCACATTAGGGATAGTTTAATGAGAGCTGCTATTCTTGAAGGGTCTAACTGGCCTTGCAACTTGCACCATCTCATTCACACATGTACAATGTTCCATCATCTACTCACATTCATATCCTTTAGTGGGGCTCTTGGGAGCACACTCTCTGGGGGCACAGATGGCAATTAGCTGCTTTCTACCTTGTATTTTAATTCTTATTTTCCGTCTTCTTTTTGGTCTAAATTTGGTTAGTTTAAGTTAGTTGTAAGTTAGATTAGGGATTTTTAGCTTGATTTCTGGTTATGGTAGGTTAGTTCAGTTAGTAAGTTAATGTTTGAAAAAAAAAATAAATTAAATAAATTAATAAATAAACACGCACGACCCCAAATTTGTATTTGTCTTGTCTAGTTTGTCGTTGTGTTCATTTGTTTTTTCACACTGTCTGTCTAGCTGTGAAGTAGTATTAAGATTCACACTCATGTTCAGTTTCATTAGCATTAAGTAGTTATAAGCAGGGCTGTGGAGTTCGAGTCGTCAAAAAATCCACAAACTCCGACTCCTTTTTACGTATATGAAATGAAAAAGTATTGGAATCATGTCAAATTTGACCCTCCCAGTTTTTTTTGCAAATCTACACGATTGGAGACCTCCTGAACCCCCAAAAAGTCAATAAAAGGGGAAAAATTTGCACGCATGTGTGTTGGTGTCTAATTTCTTTACCCATTCTGAGATATTGTTTATCTCAGAACAGAAAATAAAGTTTAAGAAACAAAATTTGGTACTGTAGCTTGCATATAAAGTGGCAATAATTAAGAACCAAAATTTAATAGCATTAAAGGTCGACAGGGTGAAGACAGAGAAGGTCATGTGTCATTTCTCCAGTGTGGTTGAACTTAATGAATATTTTACTCGTTATTAGCATTCACAATTTTTAAAAAAATAAAACTCGTCTCTACCCTCAAAAGTAAGGTTTTTGTCATTTTATAAGAGTATAGTGAAACCTGTTAAGATGTTAGGATGTGTATGGGGGCACAATTTAGTTCAACCACTTTGACGCTTAATAACTCCTGTGTTAACTCAGATTTAAAAACCAAACCACAGTAGTTATTAGTAGTGATGTAACGAATATTAAGTTACTATTCAGTATTCGGCCAAATACCTAAAAACAGGAGTAAGAAATAACAAAAAACACAGTAAATTAATCATTTTGGTATTTAGATTTAATGTTATCGGGTTAGTGTTGTTTGTTTATATTTATTTATAACTTGTAACATGCACAAAATAAAAAAGAACATAATATAAATTGTGAATACAAGTGACTAATAATTACAAAGATCAGCACACGTACACACATACAGTCGACCCCCCTATAAGATACGTTCCAATTTATTAGGAATCCGATTTCTTACAAGTCGTTCCAATCACAGCCGACACGTGTCAAGTTTACGGACTATGGCTGATTGAAAGGTTTTCTTCCATAAAATTAATCGATTCTACACTAATCCAACTCAACATTTCCAAAATACGTATATTTTTTCATAGTTTTATAGGAATCGTAATTATAGGGACCGTAATTATAGGGGGGTCGACTGTATTCATTCGAGAATCATCGCACATCTGATGGTCTTACCCTGCCTATCCTTCTTTTTAAACGCTCGTCTTTGCTCTTCCCTATATCGCTCTAGTCCACGTATGCCTATGCATACATCATAATACGCCCTCGCGATACTTTCGATTCGTCACTTTTCCGTCATAGATTTTCCATTTTATAATTACGTNTGAGGGTCTGACCCTGCCTATCCTTCTTTTTAAACGCTCGTCTTTGCTCTTCCCTATATCGCTCTAGTCCACGTATGCCTATGCATACATCATAATACGCCCTCGCGATACTTTCGATTCGTCACTTTTCCGTCATAGATTTTCCATTTTATAATTACGTGACTTATAGTCTGGTGATAACGGAGAAAAGAGACAGATAGGACGTCGGTATAAGTCACAGTTATGATTTCACAGATTCGAAACAGCTTGGTAGCCCGAATGACCCCAGGCTTTCGCCCGTGCACGCTAAGTGACTTTCATTACGAGCATTTATCTTTCCGAAGTCTATGACAACAATTGTTTGGCATTGATGGCCACAAATTTCGAGCCAATAAGCTGCCTCGGCTTGTTTGATTATGTTATCAACTCAATTTCATATTTATTTTCATATTTTCACTTTGCGGTTCTTCTCTGTTCTTCTTCCGTTATTTACACATGTAGGTCATTTCATTGTTATCCACATTTGATATCATCACTTATCACATACTGCCATGACGCTCTTGTCTGAACTGTCAAGAATTAACATGATTGGCAAAGCGTAGTGACAGTGGGCCAATAGAGAGCAGGGTCCTTGCCATAATACGGTTTGCATGCCAATTTTCGTACGTGCGCTAATCGAGCCGAATAGTTTGGCTGAATATTCAGCCACGCTCCTGGCCGAATATACTATTCGTTGCAACACTAGTTATTAGGCTTCAAACAGGTTGAACAAAATCATGCCCCACACATGCAAAAGATTTGAGACTTTTTTCTATGTATCTCAAAATTTCAAGGTGTCCCGAGTCAAAAAATGAAAAAATTTAGGAGGGGTCATTTTTTGACCGAGTGCTACGCTTTCCCTCTGTTATATATAACAGCCGAAAAAGTAAAAATTATTGAATACATATTTATATATTGACTGTGTCATTGCTAAAAGACTCCTCTGTGTTCTATCTTTATTTGAACTCTATTTATTGAATCTTTTATTCTAAGGTCACGTGATGACATCAGAATTTCCAGGTCTCTTTTGGTAACACCATCCAATTCCAACTAGAGGGGGACTTAAGGCAAAGTCAGAGTTAGTAGATTTTTAAGTGACTCCACAGCCCTGGTTATAAGTCTTCCTACTAACTTCTACGCTTAGCTATTTATGGTGGCACTGAATCATTGGTGTTTGCTATACTCGGGTATTCTTTTAGACCCTTTGGAGGACTACAGCCTTGCAGCCTAAAAACTGCATGCCAACATCAAACATAGAGGGTACTGTGGCCTTATGTACTGTACACTGTTCAAAGTGATCCTACCTTTCTCCTCTCCCCCTCCCCTTTCCCTTACTTTCTTTTCTGCGGGCTAAACACCTCGTGTACAGCCAAAGTATTTCTTGTATGTATATATGTATGTAGCCATGTTTAACAGCTATATCTTCTATATGTTGTAGCTCAAGCAGAGTGTCGTGAGTGAAGACCCATCTTATTAGGGCACAAAAGGCTGTGAGTTTTGTATAAAATTGCAGCTTTCCATTTAAATAAAATATTTTTTCTTTAATATGTTTAAAAGACAACTTTATGAACACACACACACACACATTTCTTTTCCGTTATTATATATTTGAAATGGAACAATTATATTCACAAAGGGCATCTTAAAAAGAAAACATTGCTGTTATTGCATTAATATTAATTAATTAATTATAATTTTTCACTTTTAGCCTGGTTAAAAAAAAGGAAAAAAAAAAGTATTTTGAATTTTATCCTTCAGGAATTGGAAAAAACTAGGAAGACTTAAGCATAAGTTATCTAAGTACAGTAGAACCTCGAAAACTCGGCCTAATGTGGACCGAAGGGTAGCCGAGTCTGTGAAAATGCCGGGTTATCGGGAATGGGGTTAAAAAAATAAGTACGAGTGTTTCCTCAGAAAATAATGTACTGTACTTGTATGTATTGTTTACTTACAAATATAACAGAGAATAAACTGCCCAAATACCCTTAAACAAAGGAAAAGTACGTCCTTTATGAAGGCATAGAGCCTTTACTACATGAAAATGAAAATTAATGAATACACTGTGTACAGTAATTTACCTGATAAGACAGACCTCAGAAAAATACTTTATGAGAGCTTTTATACTTTTATAAAGCTGTCTATAATGAAAATTAATTAACTAAGGATTTTTTTGCCCTGCCAGGTGAGGCCGAGTTATCCGGAGTGCCGGGTTATCGAGAGCCGAGTTTTCGAGGTTCCATTGTATTTTAAGAAGGTGATTATGGTTTAAATTTTATAAATTTTTGAAAAATTTTTTATTGTATAATTGAAGTGTGTGATAAAATACCTGCCGACAAAGGGGAAAAAGTTGCAAAATATATGAAAATATTGCATGCGGGCAAAATAAAAGTTTATTCTTTTGAACCAAGAGGCCAATCAAATCTCTAATTTCGTCAGCAAATTAAATCAGTACAATAGATTATAGTCACAGTAGACTAATATTAAATAAAATAATGCTTCTAGGCCTCTAAATATTAATTAATTAAGAAAACTTGTATCTTAAATATGGTAATGCAACCGGAAAGAAAATATTTACCCGTTAAGTTCATGTGTGCAGTACTTTATCTTCTGTTTCCGGAACGATCGGCTTGGCAATGCCAAATATAACAAAACTCAGACATCCCAAAACATTCAACAGTGCGGTCAAATTGAAAACAGTACTCCAACTTTCCGAAGTCTCTAAAATGTAACCGGCCAGATACACCCCGACAAAACCTGAAAGAAAACCAATGTTTTAAAATTATCATGTTGTTTTACATATATCATCAAGACATATGCTTTATACTGTTAGTTATATCATTACAGAATTTACTAAATTTCTGAGATTTGTGCAATATTGAAATGAAAAAAAAAATGATACATGAAAATATTCTAAAATTTTTATATTTTGAAAATAATGTAATAGTCTAAAAATTTTTAATTAAAAGACTTCATACTTGTGATATAATGCAAAGTATAAAAATTACAAGGTAAATTTAGATTTTTTAAAATAAAACTTTAGGCTCCAATATTAGCATAAAAAGAAACCTCACAAATGAGAACAACAAAAGGCTTAGATATTATATTCAAATAGTTAGCAAAACATTATGAATTTAAAGATTTGTTGTTTTAAATGAAAATTTGATATGGCATGTGCTTTTTTTTAGCTTTTTATTTGCAATGAACAGTTCTGAGAATAGAAGCAAGAACTGGCAATCTTGCAACTTTAGCAGTCGATGGCATTCCGTTGTCAAGGTATAGGACTCCGTTTCTATTATTTTTATTTTTGGGTAATGCTCCATGTTTTCGAACCATGCAGTATTACCCAAAAATAAAAATAATAGAAATGGCAACCATTCAGACTGGTAAAGCACAATGAACCGAGTGGAGGGGGAGACAAAATACAGTATCCATTAATGACAAATGTTTTAAAATCAAACAAACTCAAAACAGATGACAACCAAGTCACTAAGTCATTTGGGTACTAATGAGGTGCTCTCTAAGAAAAGTAAGAGTGGAAAAAAGAACTAAACTTTAGGAGTTGGAACACTTATCACAAGTACAGAAATGTTTTAAAACTAATAAATACAAATATACATCCACAACTGCCATAAATGATTATTGCATATTTGCAATTGTGGATGTATATTTGCTTCACACCAACCAATGCCAAATATTATCGGGCTAGAAACTGCTATAATAGTTTCTAGCCCGATAATATTCGGCATTGGTTGGCATGTAGCTTTAAAAAAAAACAGGTTTAGTGATGATGTTTCTTTGAATATTTGCTTAATATCAGGTTTCGATTGGTGTGTGCTAATAAGTATGTAGTGAAATTAACTTTCGTAATGTACCCACCAGTTCCAAATATTTTCTTTAAGAAAAGAAATAATTTGTCTTCTCCCATCATTAAATAAATATTTATTTTTTATTTCTTAAAATGAAAAACTATTTGTGATAAAAAATGTTATAAAAGAATATTAATTATTTGAATTCAAAAATAAATATTTTACAAACTTACCAGGAATGGCTCCAACCGTATTCATTATACCTGTAAAAAAAAAGTATTTTGTTTATAAGTTGTACCTAACTATACTATACTAGCAGACCCTGCCACACGTTGTTGTGGCTCAAAATGTATCTATTATAAATTTATAACACTTCCCCCGTGAGGGGGAATTTTCAAAAAATTTCTTCTTAGTGTACATTCTCTTGACGTACCCTATTAAAATGCAATCAAAAACCCGCATCTAAAATGGTATAAATAGAAGCAGAGTTCTTTACCGTAAGCCTTAATTAATCCTAACCATCTCCCTTCAGTGGGGTTGAATTTCGACATGTATATTATATAAAAACACGTGCTTATTCGAATGCAGCATTGTGTCAAAATTTCAAAGGAATTGGTAGGAACAAATGAACATTACATTTTTATTTATATAAATAGATAGATGATGATCTGCTTTAGTTCATTTTCACAGAAAAGCAAACTTAGGATGTTGTACTCATAGCGCCATCTGTTGGACATAAAAGCCTTAACGTAGATTATATCTTAATTTATATGAATGTTTAACGGAATAATATACAGCCTATGTCCACCCTGAAGTTCCATTCTAAATATTGGTGAAAGAATTTTTGAAATTGGGTGAGTAGTTTTGGAGATTACCTGCAGCATACAAACTTATATACTTACAAACATTACCTCTTTATAATATTAGTATAGATAGTCAACCATTATCATATTTTCTTGCTTATAACTCAGCGTGTGCTAGAAAAAAGTTTTGTGTAACCTTCCCCGCTGCTTCATAGTCATGAGTGTAATTGCAATTTAAAATTGGCATATATCCTGCTCCCTTTCAAAATCAAAATTTTTATCTTCTTGCATACATGGTATTTATTATATAACAAAACCGTGCTTTTTTGGGAACTGTAAATAGTGCCCAAAAAACTATTACATGAGCCAATTATGTGAGGAATTCTATGGATTGTCCTGTGTAAAACTGAGCTACCTTAACCTGTCCTGTGTTATTCCCGAGATACCTCAGGGTTGTGACCTCTGACCTTGACCGGTTGACCTGAGATATCTCGTTTCAGCATCGGAATATTTTTTAAACTAGATATCACTAGTCGTTATAATTTTTAATATAAAAATTATATTTCAATAGTTAGGTTTTTGATTATTATTATTATTATTATTGTGTATTATATAAATATATCTATTTTGTTTGTGCAAAATAAAAAAAAATAATTTCAGATGATACAATAGCCACAATTATTATTTTCAAAACATGTAATTTTCATTAGGCTTTACATGCCGTGTTAAGTTTAATAACATTTACCTATAAATTTTTAAATAAACCTTTTTTAACCATAGGTAAATAATCATTCGTAAATACAGCAATAGCTCAGCTCAAACTGTTCCCAACTTCAACAATTTGGTATTAGAACAAATTCGGACGAAATAATTGTTCAGTAGTCAACTGAACATATTTTTATTGTACAATATTTTATATGGATGACAAAATAAAAATAAGAAAAATGAAGACATTGCCAATACTCTGACCAACATCGACAAAAAAGCTTGGTAGATGACAATACTTTGTAAAAACAAAAATGTCCTCGTTTAACTAAAATTAATATTAATGCGTAATACAATACTTTTAAATTGTGATTTTTAGTTAATTGTTGATTGTTGTAACAAAATAGGTTCCAAAAGTTAGCAAAAGTATACTATTCTATCTCTAGATTTTGATTTGTATAGCATGAATTCGCATAACATGGCACTTTCTTGGAACATAACTACAGTGTTATACAAGGGATACCTGTATCCCAAAATCAGTTATTGAATGCAAATTTACATTTTTGTACTTGATCTAATTCATTCAAAATTCCATATATTTATTTTGATAATTTATTAAAAACAACAATTTTTAAAATTTAAAGTTCATTACAAAGGAATTAAATTGGAAGAGAATTAATAAGAGAAGCAAAAGTACTCAAATAATTATTTCAATATTTACCAAATACTGATCCGGCATACTGAGGAGCGATATCCTGAGGATTCATAAATACGGCACTTCCGTGCAGGCCTCCCGCGGCCACTGCCAGCGACAGACATATCAGCGCCCAGGTGTAGTTCTGTAGATATCCGATGACAACCAACAGACACGCTTTCGAGATCTGAGAGGATGCCTGGACGACGAGAACATTAAAAATGTATATATATTAATATTTTACCTTTGGCTAAGATTATTAAATTTTATTATGAAAAAAACACATTTATTAAATAGAATGATATTTATCTAATTAAATAATTGAAACCATTGGATTCTTCATGGGTTATGTAAAATTAGTTGGCAATTAATTAAAGCTACTTTAAATAAATCTATAAGGTAAGTAATTCCTTTCTGATGTGGATACAGCTTTTAATTTGATATTAAAATTAGACTGTTACTCTGTTACTTGTACATTAAAGTTGATATAAATAATGGATTAACTGATAATTTTTAAAAATATTAATATTTTTAAAACAATTTTTGCATATTCCAGATTAATTAAAGTGGAACTGGACTTGGACTGATCCTGATTATCTGGAAAGTTCATTAATTAATGACAAAATGTATATAAACTGTATTATTTATTTTAAATTTCTAATTTCTTCTCCATCATAACAACTACTTTCTTTCTTTTAGATGTCATTTTCATGGCATTTACTTTACAGAAGACCAAAGATGACTGAAAATCAGCAAAGCAAAAGCCAGTAGTAGCTGTGGATGTCATGTTATAAATGATAACTTTATCAAGTTGACAGCCACAAGAAGTATAGCATTTTTATGTAAAAGGAAAGTACCAATTTTTTGTATTTGAAAATCTTAATATCTTATTGAATCTTTTAAGTAAACTCAAAGAATATTCTCATGGAATGCACAATGAGCACTGTATGCCAATTTGTAGAAATCAAATTAGTTTTGCAAGCTGCAATGTTCTGTTTAGGAGTTCTTTGACTTTTTGCATTTATAAGTTTTCCATATGTCTATCTTTCATATTTCTGGGACAGGGATTATGGGGTTCCATTGTAATAGTTTTTTTTTAATTCTTATTGTATTTATAACAATTTAGATGTTATTAAGAAATATTAGAATGACTGGTTTTTAAACTAATTACAGTGTATTATACTATATATTACTTTTTTATTAACAGAGAATGAACAGCATGATCTTATGATAGGTAGTGAAGTAGCCTGTGATACCAATAAAAGACAACTATGAAAAACAATTAGTAAGAAAAAGATTGATAGGACTGGATAAAATAAACAGTGGGAGACAGATGCAGAGCAACATGTATGGATTCAATCAATTGTACAGAGAAGAAAAAAACTATTTTACATTTGTTTTGGTAGTGGAAATTAATGATAATCTTGTCGATGGAATTCCAAAATGTTATGTATTTACTAAATATAACAAATGTATATCTTAATCTAATCTCAAAACTTCTTAAAATTGTTTACTACTTCATTCTGAATAATCGATATTGTTATCTATGATAACTTAGACATGATTAATGTATTTTATTCTGTCTCCTTTACGTGAACAAGAATAAGATTTTCATGCTAAAACATTATACTACAGTAAAACCTGTCTAAACACAGCAATTTTCTGTTAAATTTTACTAACAGCCAAGAAGAGGTTTTTCAAAACAAAGAACATAACTTAAATGAAGCAAAAAATGCTTCTAGGAGTAACAGTCATCACAGAACATGAAAACTATTTTGAACCTTTCCACAGAAACAAAGATCAAGCAACAATGGGACACAATCAAATACTTCTACGAACTGAGAATGTGTTTGTTGCTTGTTCTCAATCCTTGGAAACATAATTTTGCAACATGGTGCTATTAATTTATCTCATACAGATTAGTTAATAAATAACAAATACAAAGTATTCTAAAACAAGTCAATTTACACATTAATCATTAATCATTAACTTCAATCTCTATAATTATAAATTAGAGGATTATAATTTGTCAAAAATTTATAATACAGAATAACTTGGACTCTGAATTACCATAATGAAATTACAATTTCTGATGGCAGAGCAAGACACAAGTTCTCCGTACTCAAACCAGCTCGTTTACCATCATAAGAGCTCATATGGATTACATCCGAGAAGTATTTGAATATGTGGCAGAAGCTCTCGTGAATGACAACTTTTTTTGGTCAAATATACCTGCCCATCTTTGGTCAGAATCATATTTTGAATTAAACCTAACAATAAAACTCTATATGTAAAAATGGTTTTACAGAAAAATACACATAACTGCATGACATTTGTTTTACTCTTTAACTATACTAGATAACAGCGAAAAATACTAAAACCTATTCAGAAATCGGGAAAAAATTTTGTACCACACAATCCCAGTTTATACAGGTTTTACTATATTTTTTAGCTCTCTATTAAAATAATAGTACACATTTACCTCTAACACTTTTCTGATCACTATTATCTTCCAACCTGTAAAAAATAAATTCAAAAATTAAACCAAAACAATATTACATGTTAAAATATCATATTAACAGTGATCTGTCAATAAATATTTAATGCATTGTAGGAATATTGTAGGAACTCTACTTATCTATAATCAAAATTTAGTAGAATAATTTTAATATCAAAACATTTTGTTCTAAAAGCAAGCAGGCAACGTATACTTGTTGACAAAAAAGTTAAGCACCGAGAAAGTTTTGTTTGATTCTGATGCCTCCGTCATAGCAAATGGACAATTTATCTTAAAATAATGATTCAATTTAAAAGGAACCTTCAGATCCTACTCTTGCCCAGATAAGCGTGGTGCATAGTGTATTGGTAAGTTGAGTGAAAGGGTTTGAAGGAGAATATTGCAACTGCTACTCAAAATCCCTTGTACCTGTAGACAACCGAAACCGGTACCCGTCTAGATCCATGAGTGCTCTAAGGGCAATGAATGTGGAGACTAAGAAATGTGACGGACATACCCGGGAAGCCCTAATGGTGTAGAATCAAGCATTACAATTTGCAATCCTTCCCTGAAAGGCAACTCATGCAAATTTGTTTGCTAATAATATGGAGAGAGAGCATTTTGTAGCAAGGCTTCTTCCCATCTCTGGACAGTGAACAAAGATGCCATTGCAGCCATTTGTGCTCATCTCACTATTGGGCGACATGGCCTTTATCAGATTCCATTATCCATGGGCACATCTGGCATTCAAAGCCTTCCAAACAACAGGTATGCCAAATATTCTGAAAACAGCAAGCCTTTTTATGGGATACAGGGATAGCAATTTTAAGACATTCCAGTAACATCACCTGGTTTGTAATAAAACCTGAACCATAATCATTTACGTGCCCATCTGAGGATTTAGCCGCACACCAGACAATTCTATCGATGCATAACTTTTTTGTCTGCAGCTTATTTGGCATATTTTTACTCAATTTATCAGAATTACATTTTACAATGTTTTTAAATTAATATTCTACAAAAAGTCGGTCATACAAAAAATATTTCTAATTTATTTCTGCTGTAAAATTATATTAAAAATTTTAGATTGTAAAATTTCCTTCATTTGTATTTGGAAACATACATATAACTCAAGCCACCCGAGAATCAAAAAAGAGATGTGATGACAATGCCACTGATGTCATTTTGCCACAAATAATGCACATCTTATGAAAATGAGTTCTGTCCCTCTGACATGTAACAGAATATTTTCAATATGCAATATTAATTGTACATTATTTGGCAAGCTGTGACAGAAATCAATCTACTACATTTGCATTTAAATTAATTAAAATGTATAATAAACCATTTTTAGAAGGCAATTTTTTATTTTCATTAAACTTTAGTTCTAAAATTTCATTTATTTATCATTTTGTAAAAATTCAAATAAACTGTAATGCAAAAACTAAATGAATTTGTTGCCAATATATTTGAAAATTGTTAAGATAAAAACAAACCTCAAAATATAAATATTGTCCCACATTATTTGAGGCAAATTGCAGAATGGTCAAAATGAAAAACTAATAATACTTTGTACCAAAAAGGACAGTTGAAAGAATAGCTCAGAGTAGTGTTTTTCAATTGATATACTATATCTGGAAATAACGATTAGAAACAAATCACAAAAACAGGCAGGAACTTACAATGGGTATCAATTCTGTCATATTTAGGCATATGTAATTTGAACATTGAATAGAATTCACTGGCACTCATATACACCCAAAGATAATAATCTCATAATTCAAACTCACATAATCTATCTATCTTGTTATGTCCCGGATGATCTGCTACAGGTTACTCTGTAACGATGGAGATCCCTACAAGCTTGTGAAAAAATTGGGTATCTAAGAGATACTCTTTAAAAACATCCCAACTGATGTTACTACATACTGTGTTGTGCTGCAGACAGAATCTTAGTGTACATAAGATAAGGCAACCAAACTAAAGCTAGTTTGGACAACTCAATATAAATATACACAACCATAAATATATTGCTTAACAACTCAATAATGTCTTATTTTCATTGTGTTTAGGTCAACACGCAGCTCCTCCAACAGCATAGAAATTGACATTTATTTATCATGTGGGAATCAATATTTATTGACACTGTGTAATCATCCAACTCTGGACAGTGTAAAGAGACATCCCATATTTCAGAAACTGCTACACTAAGCCTTGATAATAAGGTATATATTTGCTAACCCAAGCATGTCCATAGTACATATCTTGTATAGTTGCTATAATACTAATACCATAAATACGTGTATTTTTTTAACTGTATAATTTGTTTACACAAGCAACTCTTATTTTGTTACAATTGTTCTGTAATTAATTTTTAATTTAAGTAGATTGGAGAATTTAAATACAAAATGCAATTGAGCTATAGCTGTGTTCAAACAAAAACATAACATACAGAACTGATAGAATTTAAATATCAATTCTGTATATTTTTTGTATGAACACGATTACAGTTCATTTGAGTTTTAACAGATTGACTTTCAAAAAAAACTGTTTAATGGTTAAAATTATTGAAAATGCATATGCAAAGATGACAAGAATTTTGACATGAATCAATTTGGTAATTTCTGATATCAGGTAAAAAGAAGTAAATATAAATTGATTATATATAGATGCTAATTTCACAGTTAATTAAAAAATTATTTCATTAAAACAACAAACAGAATTTCAAATAATTAAAATTTCATGAAAATTTAATTTCAAAGTTTCGGAAGTTAAAAATCGGAGCACTCGCCTTTGGCAATGAGATATTCCGCCAGCCACCCTCCCAATATCGACGACACTGGACTGATCATCCAAGGCACGACATTAAAAACCCAACCCTATTGAGATATAATTGATTTATTAGTTATTAATCAAATAATTCTGTGAAGAAAAATTGCAGTATTAATTGTAAAATAAAAATACAATAATTATTAATTTACACAATTTAACAAGAAATGTAAGCAAAGTCTAAGATGAAAATGATGTATTATACCTTTCCTCGAGGAAAAGTTTCATCAAAATAAGTCGGTAACCAATTGAGAAGAATGAAGAACGAATTCGCTTCGCTAAGGTGAGCAAACAACATTGACCTAAATAAAAAAATATATATTATATATATATATATNAATGGCTTTAATTCAAAATGATCAGCATAAAACAACATGAGAGATAGCAAACATTTTAAAAATATTCCAAACACCTGTTGTCAGACATTTGGCTAGCCTTGGATACACTTCCTGTTATGATGTTTGGGTACCCCATATATATTATTACTGTAAATGAAAGTTCAAATCAATTAAAATAGTATGTAAAAATAAATTATTAATTTTTCAAAGAATAATCATCTTTAAATAATACAAACATGCTACTGTTTCTTATAGCATGTTTGGCAGTTTTATATAAACATTTGCATATAATAAGGATTTTAAAAATTAACAAATAACTAAGATATGTTATTTTTTGATTTGCTGGTAGCCAAACAATAATTAATGTAAGAATCCAGATTGATAAACACATGTGAATTCTCTACCTTCATTAATCAAGTTCTGTTTTATAATTTAAATAATAGAAGATGGAGAGATAAGAACAAAAAATTACTTAAACACAATTCTTGACTAAACAGATTTATCTATTTTTGTTTTAAACATATTTGATATTAGTTAGATATGAATTTATTACCTTGACAAATAATTTGTCATTGGCATTTGCATTGAATTAAGACAAAATAATCCAATGTTACGCATGGATTCAAAACTATTTTTACACACAACAGTCTGTCACATATCATTTTTGTAATAATCAATCTCCCTCTCCATTAACTTTCAAAATAAGTTATAAAAAATCTTATGTTTACCAGAAAGCGGTGTGTTTAAAAAAGAGTAACCATGGAATGTTAGACATCACTTTATACTCGTATTTTTCGGCCTCCTTTGCAACGTCATTCTTGCGGCTCGGCTCCGTTCCGACATATCTGAGCATCAGTATCCAAGAAATACCCAGCAGTCCTAAAATAATAAATGCAGTCTTTAAATTTAGTTAAAGCAATAAAAATACATCACTACATTTGATATTCACTTCCTAGAATAAGTATTTTAATTCCAAATAGATCAATGGTCAATATATTTTGATATTTTGCATGCTATACAACTAAATTAATAGTCATTATAATATTGCCATTATACAAAGAAAAGTAAAAATTAATTACTCTGTTATAAATACATTATAGAATTGAATGCTAAAAAGAACATAAAAAGAAATAACTTAATCTTGCATTATATCAAATCTTATAAAAATATTTATAAATGAAAGAATCTCCAAACTATTTGCTGAATTATCCATCAGGCTATTCTAAAGCTGGTAAATAATTAAATACAAATCAATTTTGCTAAAGATAGGTGGTTATGCTGCCATCTTTTGATAAATATAATAATTAGAAATAAATTAATTTTAATTTAAAATATTCTAAATGACCAGTATGGTTATATTTAAATTAATTAATTAACTAATAATTCTGGAAGTGCAGATCAGACAGATGTCCAGGTAGCATAATTGTCAATACATCTGCACAGTATGTTTGAGTCTACTCTGGGCAGATTCATATCTTCCAAAATATTCTAAATTAAAATTAATTTATTTTTAGTTATTAAATTTACTGTAGGATGATGGGGACAACAGCCTATCTCTTGCCAAACTGATTTGTATTTAATTAATTACTAGCATTAAAATAGCCTGATGGATAATCCTGCAGATTGTCTGGTGACTGAAGTAAATTGGGTCAGTTTACATTATGTATATCAGGCATGGCCAACAAGTAAATTTTGATTGACCGATCGATTGCTGCATCAGTTTTGGTCGATCACGGATAATCCAACATGTTAAAATATGGAAAACATTATTTTAATACGAATATTAAATCTGCACTTTCATGGGAAATCTTTTAACTATTTGTTATCAGTTTGTGATGCTGTGCTCTATGAGATAACATGTGGCAGATATGAAGAAACCTCTGTATCAATGGTCATTCCTAAGTTATATTGCCATTTTAGAAATTATTGGGTTGAACCGAAAGTTTGTTTGGGTATTTACATAATTGCTCGTCTGTGGTGCCTTTGTCGTGCTTATCAAGTTTTAACTTGTTTAGGTTGACATTACGAACATTTATTACGAAAGTTTAATTACAGCTGTTTTTTAAAATTTTGTTATCTTTCAAGAAAAAAGAAAAAACATTAAAATGGAAGGTAAGAGGTGCATTTTCGACATCGCATGCTCTATTATTTCCAAAAAGGAAAAAATGCAACAAAAACTCAAAAAAAGATATGTGGTGTATATGGAGAGGATGCAGTTATTGATTGAACATGCAGAAATGGTTTTCAAAATTCAGGGAGGGAGATTTTTCTGTCAAAGATACACCTTGGTCAGGACGGCCTTCAACCACAGAAAACGAGTCCAGAATGGCTTTAATTCAAAATGATCAGCATAAAACAACATGAGAGATAGCAAACATTTTAAAAATATTCCAAACACCTGTTGTCAGACATTTGGCTAGCCTTGGATACACTTCCTGTTATGATGTTTGGGTACCCCATCAATTAAGTGAATGGAACCTTATTGAGCGTGTTTCTGTATGTGATTCACTTTTAAAACACAATGAAGACGATCCCTTTTTAAAGCAATTAATAATAGGCGATGAAAAATGGATTGTTTACAACAATATTCGACATAAGAGATCTTGAAGTAAGCCAGGTGATCCTCCAGTGCTGCAACCTAAAGCTGGTTTGCATCCCAGAAAAGTAATGATTTCAGTTTGGTGGGACTGGAAAGGGGTTCTTTATTACAAACTTTTACCCAACAACCAAACAATTAATTCCAATAAATATTGTCTCCAACTGAATGAACTAAAGGCTGCAGTGCATCAAAAACATCCAGAACTTGCAAATCAATGGAGAGTAGTATACTATCATGATAATGCAAGACTGCACGTATTGTTAAACACGCACCAAAAACTTCTAGACTTTATGCAGGATAACTCAAAACATCCAGTTATTCCCTCAGACTATCATCTTTTTCATTCATTGCAGAATAATTTAAATGGCATAGAACTTCAATCTTTAGAAGGTATCAAAAACCACATCGATAATTTCTTGAATCAGAAACCCAACCAATTCTACACAGATGGAATTATGAAACTACCTGTCAGATGACGTAAAGTTATCGAATAGAAGGGTGAATACGTAGTGGATTAAAAATTTTTATTTATTTCAAAATAGTATATTTTATTTCTTTATAAAAACTGAACAAACTTTCGGTTCAACCCAATATTTTATTGTGTCCTGAGGGTCAATGTGTAATTTCTGTTGAGTACAAAATGAGGGCAACAAGGAGGAGCAAAACATGATTTGTGGGATGGAATGAAATAAAATTTTTTTTGTAATGAAAAGTAAATGATGCCATTTAATTTATGCCTTAGTGTTATTACCAAAAAGAGAAAAATTAAAATGATAATTACTGTGCAATTAATAAATATACCTATGTTTTGCAGCATAGAAATTTTATTAGGGTTGATTTTTAAACTTTTATAAAAGAACAAAAATATGGAGTAGATCCACATTGCTTTTGACCCATGAAAGTTTATTATAACTCACTATAAGCTGGTCAGACCCAATGTATATAAATGAAAGAATACGTCTATCATCAAAGAAAACTGTTAGAACTTTGGCTTGCAAAGTCTCATTGCATAAAGATTTGAAAATTTTTAGCATTCTAAATATTACATATTTTGTAAAAAAGATAGATAAACTATTAATTTTATTGAAGGAGGTCCAATGTACAAAAATATATTTTAAAAAGTGTTAAACATCTTTTAAATGCATTCTTAATTCTAGTCATCAAAAGAATCTTGTAAAATAGTTTATATGATAAATAGTTTTTTGAACTGAACTAAAGTTGAAACATTTCACTTTAATTGTGGCATTAAAAAAAACTTCATTTTTAAACTGTATTTTTTAAAACATTTTGTTTACAATCAAAACCAAATAAGTCTACTATACTATAATTGTGTCATTGTACAATCCTCCATTACGTATTTAAAATCTTATTTGGTTTTGCATAACATGATAATTCAATGAAATAGTTCAAAAAACTAACAATAAAATTATATATAAAAGTGAATAACTGGCAGTTTTAAAAGAAGTTTGTCAGTAGAAAGGACAAAAGCTCTGGCTTTGATGAATGCCCATTCCAAGCAAACTCTCCACTGCCACGAAATTTGTCAATTACATTTATAGGTAATTTTAATGTTAGTTTTTTGAATTATTTGACAGAAATTTGTAATGTGAATTATTGAATAAAAATTCTATAAAAATAATTAAATACGAAGAAAATATTTGCTTACCAAATGTTCTAAATACATATGGCCAGCCATATTTTTCTAAAATAAATGAGCCAACACTTCCACTAAGGAGCATCCTATATAAATAATTTATTTTGTTTTATTTTATATAAAATCTTCATTACTAAAATTAATAAAATATAAAATAAAAAAGTTTACCCTACTGCAGGACCTGAAGTTACGACGCTTGTGAAGAACGTTTTCTCCGAAGAATGTAAATTATTTGAAATAATACTTGCTATCGCAGGAAAATGAGCACCTGAAAAATAAATATAATATAAATAAAATAAAAATCAAGATTTTTAATGTTCAAATTTTTAAAAAATTATAATAGTTTTTTCAAATATTAATTTGTTACTTTTATAGAAATTTCTGGTTTGCAAACATTAATGTATTTGAATTTTAAATATTCTTTAATAATACAGTAGACCCTCCCTATAACACGGTTCATATAAGATGGATTCGTATACCACGGCAGAAAAATTGCGATCATGTTCATATAACATGCTAAAAGAGGCTCGTATAACACGGTAAAAGAATGAGACAGATTGTCACAGCCGACTTGTGTCTCAACAGGATTGGTCAAATCTGGACCAATAGCGGACATTGCACAAACCGTTGAGTTTAAACGAGCAGCAGACCTACTAAAAACCATTTATCATTTAACGGCCATAAAAATTATATTTATATTAATGATGTCTCCAAAGTTCAGCAAATTTTTTGCAGAAAAATAACTTATCAGGAAACTTATTGCAGAACTTATTGTATTTATTATATGGAATGAAGAAAACACTAGGTAGATTCCTTAATCCTTTTTATTTTTCCCATAAAAATTACCTAGTGTTTTATTTGTAGCATTCAATAAGTATAAGTCCTAAATCTGATACAAGGCCCAAATAGGCATATATATTAAAAACAAAATTAAGATCAAGAAGCTGCTTCTACCTATTTGCAGTTTTTTTATTAATTCAATAAATAATTAACCTATTATTAATGTCATAAAATATATTATAAACTTCACTATACCTTGAAGAGCACCAATAATAGTCCTTCCCAAGACTACCAGCCAGATATTCCCTGAAGTCGATGAGATCATTTCGGGAGTAAAAAACGTCAATACTGACCATCCAATGGCCACTATCAACAGAACCCTTTCTCCGCCAATGCGGTCACTTATATAACCTCCGAGTACCTGCGTCATCATATAACCCCAAAAAAAGCTGGACAATACGGTACCCTATAAAAAAGATTTTTTCAAATTTCTTTTTAATAATCAAATTAGATCAAATATTAAATGTCATGTAAATTAATAGTTAATGTTAAATACAGAAGAAATTTAATTATGCCACTGTTAATAAATAATTTTAATTTTATCCAAAAGAATATCTCTATTTGAAATTTTGTGGGGGGGAAGTAAATATCACAAAGTTAATAATATTTACATTATAACCCTGTTTAATATTAAAATAAATTTATAATTGACTGATAATTTAGTTTTAATAAAATAAATGACAGACTTCAATTTTAAAAAGATATAATTGAATATTCCTAATTATCAAATGTTAGATTACATAACATTATTTAGACTTTTGGATAGTAATTTTGCAATATTCTCCTCTGACTTATGAATTGATTGAATTTTTATACAAGAAATAGTGACTATTTACAGTTCAACTCGTTTATAATAACTGATTTGTATAAACAACATTTTAAGATAACACTTATAGAAATGTATACATCGTCAAAATCCAATTTTATTGCACAATCCAATAGAATCAGCAAAATTAGAGTAAAAATTGAATGATAATATAAAGTAAAGTATGACCAAGAGAACTGAATTTATATTAGATATTAGATTTATAAATTTATTGCCTTTTAACTAAAAAACAGTCATTACTTTTTCCTGTTTAAACTAAAAAATGAGCCATATTTTCATTTCTTCTACTAATTTAAATAGGTTTGAAACAATCTCTTGGTTAAAATATTAAGTTGAACAATTGATAAATGTTCAAAATTTTTTGGGTTCAGATTTTTTTTCAATGAAAATGTTCATTCGATATCTATAGACACAAACCATAACTAAATAGACACCCTGAATGTCAGCAAATGCATGAGTCAATATTAACTTCAAAAACTACACTTCTATTTAGAGAAGAATCTTCTTGCAATATTCTCCAGTGGGCCAATGGACAAAACATCCATTCTGTGGATGATGGAGCTCCTTGTCACACTGTCAAAAAGACCCAGAATTGATTGGCAACCTGAAGCATTCACAAGCTTCCATGGACCAGTTGGTCACTCCACACAAATTCCATCAAACACATCTGGAATCTGCTGGATTGTGAAGTGCAACAACATTCATTAAAACCTGCTTTCCGTGGAGAACTTGTAGATTATTTGCATGCCAAGCAGGCAGGAAAATAAGGGTGTCTATTTACTTATAGGTTGTCACTGTACTTTGGGATTTCTTTAAACCAAAACATTTCAGATTTTACAATAAAATTATTCTCCCCTTTGGAATTTTATAATTCAATTTCCAACATCAAACATTGTCATCACAAAAGTCATGCGTAATAATTCAGAAAATTTATACCGAATCGGTCTTACTCCAATCGTAATATCTGGATACCGAAGCGACTGTTATTGGCATGGTCATTCTGGCAGCATATAAAATTAAACAACTCGAAAATAAAATAGACATCCATAGATGTTTCTCGGCTCTGAAAAATAAAAAAGTAAATACCAGAATTTTAATCGTTTCTGTTTCTATTTCTATTGGAATTACATTACATAATTAACATTAAATGTAAAAAATAAATACTAAAATAATAAGTTGTTATGTTTAGATATTAAATTTTAAGCATTTGAAAAAATATAGGAAGCAGCTGGATGGCGATTTGTGATTATCACCCCAGGAAGTTTAGTTCAGTGTTCTTTTTTTTTTTTTTTTAATTATTCTAAGAAAATTTTAGTATAATTAATTCTAATTTTCAGGTTTATCTTAGTTCAAATTTAATTTAATAAGATAATTGTGAATCTAATTATAGAATCATTAATTAAAAATTTTGTTATAACATTTATTTTGATTAAAATATATAATTACGTTCATTAATTATTCAAAGATTATTAAATATCATCAAATACAGTAAAATATCAATTTAATGGACTAATTCAGGCAGGTTGTTAAAAGAAAATTGACAAATTAGTTAGTTCATCTGTTTTTACTTATGTAAATATGTTTTGTGTAATTAAAATTAACTATGTATGAGAAGTTAATTTCACAGAAAAGTTCTCTATATTTATTATTGTTTATATACTTACTGTAGTTCTAAAACTGTAACAAACAAATTTACAATCTAAATCAAAATAAATAACCAGATATTTTTTGGCAAATACATTTTAATTGTATTTAACTAAACAAATAAATAATGTTCTTAAAAAGAAAACAAAATGTACAATTGACAAAAACACAAAAATTTCCTATTTATTCGTCTTCAGATGATGACACTATATCGAGACACACTCATTGTGGCTTAAAGCTAAGAGAAGTGACTCTTGGATTTCAAAATAATAATAGTAATCTGTTAATTTAATTACATACAAAAAGCATTTTAAAATTAACAGGATATTAATTTTCATGTATGATGTATGGGCCAGAAATTTTCTGTTAAACAGTTTTTACTGTACTTTCAAATATTCAGATATATGTACAAGGTGCGTTCCATAAGTAATGCGACTAATTTTTTCACGACGCAACGATATGCCGTAGCTAGTTCTAACCTGCTGTGCTAGGAGGTGTGGGGTGCTAGCTTCAAAACTTGCCTGGTCTCGTTTGTCTCCAAGCTGGTCGGCGTGTGAGGACGTTCATTCCCGTGAACCCTGTTTTGAGTTAATGTAACACGGAGCAATGGATCATTTTGTGGAGCAACGTTATGCTTTCAAATTTTGCGTTAAACTTGAAGTCTGCCACCGAAACTTTTATATTAATTCAGCAGGCCTTTGGGAGTGATTGCTTCTCCAAATCACAAGTCTTTCGATGGCACAAGTCGTTCAAGGATGGCCAAGAGGAGGTCACTGACAAACCTTGCAGTGGATGTCCATCAACCTCCCGAATTGTCTTCTTTGACGTTAGAGGCATTAACCACCATGAATTCGTACCTGTCAGGACCACTGTAAATGCAGCTTTCTACTTGGAAGTGTTCAAAAGACTGAAATCCTAGTCATGCGCTGCCAAAGTGACATCAAGGACATGCGGAAACTTCATCACAACAACACGCCAAGCCACAGCACCTTCACTGTCAACGATTTTCTGACCAGGACCCACACCCCATTGGTTCCACAGCCACCTTACAGTCCTGACCTTGCACCCGCCAACTTTTTTTGTTTCCCCGCATGAAAGGGAAACATTGGGACACAATTGAAAACATCAAGGCTTATGTTACATCAGCTCTAAAGGACATTATGGAAAATGCCTTCCAGAATGCCTTTCAGGCCCGGAAACACCACCTTCACAAGTGTATTGATGCAGGAGGGTGCTATTTCAAAGATTTTTGACTAATTGTAAAAATATGTTCAATAAATGATTTTTTATGAATTTGGTTGCATTACTTATGGAATGCACCTTGTATAACATTCACAATCATGCAACCAATATTGCATATGATGCTAACAACTGGTAAAATTCAGGAAATAGATGGGCTTTTTTATTAGAATTAGAAGGCATCAAAAGATAAACAAGTATTGCTTTTATACATTTCTAAAATTGCTTTACATTATGACTATATTTTTTTGTCATAAAAATAACTCTTACTTTCAACCTCATAACCGGAGTGTATGTATAATACTTCAGCTAACATTTTTGATGCCCCTTCTGGGCTCTTCCTCAGGCTTTTTTTGTCATATCCATTCTATCCTAAACCTTAGAAATTACGTCAATTTTGTTTGAAGTCTGACATCTGAATTTTAATAAAATTAATTGCATCTGATTTCATTGTAACAGGAAATAATTTTTATGTTTTGAATTTCTTGAAAATTCTCAGTTAAATAATTTGTCTTTCATAATGAAATACATTTTAATTCAAGAATATATACAGTGTCTTCCAAAATAATTTCTATCATTTTAAATTACTGTAATCATGTTAATTACTATCTGAGAAGTACACAATGTACACCAATCAATAGAGTAACCATCCAAGTTTCATATCTCATCTGGATAAGATTCAAGCTCTGAATGAGAGGTTTCCAACCCCATGAGAATTGTAGACCCCTATAAGAGTGTGAGGGGGCCTGGGGGAAGAAATTTCAAAATAAAACACGATTACATGAGATATATCTCATTATCATCTCCATTGCTGTCTGGACTGCTGAGTGCTAACAGTCAATAACATGTGGGAGCGATTGAGTCAGAGATCAATGCTTCATTTACAAACAACACAACCTGTTTATTAGACAATTTAACTTACAATGAAAGTACTATTGTCACGAAGGTTAAAGTTCTTGTAGATTTCAGTGCATAGTCTTCAAAAGAAAAAGAGGAAAAGTCCAGAGACAAAGGTGGTTTCTTATCACTGACCAGATGTTCCATTCTAAGACCAGTTCTTGAACAGGGAATGATGCAGATCAGAATTTCTGACATTTCTCTCAACGAAAGTCTATAACTTTTAGCAGATACATCAGCAAAGGATAAAGACAGAACCTTGTGGAAAACACCCCAGCAAGGGACAAAGCCTTGTGGGATGCCATGGCAAAAAACCTAGCGTCCTTGTGGCCTGGGCTTAAATATCTCGTGGTCCGCTAAGTTTCTTTATTAGTTATTAATCCCTTTTCTCGGTCCCCAACTGGTCTTTCTCTGTTACCAGAGGATATTGGACCAGATCAGTTCCTGAGAAAGACTATTGTTTATTAATACAATTCGACACCATCTTTCGTTCAGTGTCGAATGAACCTTGTACCTTAACTAACATTTTCTTTTTTGTTTGTCTTGCCTTATAAAGAATTTAATATACTAATTATTTTCTCCCTTTTTTACCGTATGGTTTTAATATTAAAATAATTTTATTTTTCCCCTTTTCCTTTATAATTTAGTTCCCTTAATTTTAATTAATTGTGAAGATCAAGATTCATTTTTGTTTGGATATATGGTGATAAGAATGTTTTTCATCTCAGCCCAGAGCCTCCTATGAGCAAAAAAGTCAAAGGAACCTTACCTATGCATGAGACCCTTTGTGAGATATTCACCTTTCACCTCAAAAGTCAGTTTTTAACATGCATCAGTATACTGCCTATTCTCCATGCTCTGCATCATAAAGGCTTGCTATCATTTGTGTCTTGACCAACGCTCCACATGTAGTTGTGCACTTCAGTATGAGCGATAGCAAGCATCTCAGTATCCAGGTGGGGCTCGCCCCACCCCCTAAAACTACATAACATCAAATACTCCACAAACAGTTAAGTGGGCTACTTGAAGCCAGCATAGTCACATGGGCTAAATAGTTAAATGTGATAGTCTTAGCAGAGCAACACAACTTGTAATCTTGTGCAATCTCATTTTGGAGGGCTGTATCTCACAAAGCATTGCTTAGAGATGTGGTTCCTTTGACTTTCTTGCTCCTATAGGTATGATCTACAGCTCTGATAAGGTCCCAACAACCTTTCAGAGCTTGAATTGATCCCTCACATCTGCAATCAAACATCTTGTTGTCTACTACCTCTATACTACTTCTAGGAAGTGCCATAAATGAAAATGGCAACACCACACAAAGAAGAAATTTTGTGTTCTGCAGTTCACAAAGTTAAAATCGCTTGTCATTGTCACAACACAAATAATTTGCAGGAACTGTAGAATTGTGGTTTTTGTGGAAGGAATGATTACAGATATGCCATAGCAAGCATAGGAAGAATCAATTTGAGTATCTGTTAGATATGTGCTGTGTACATATTGAGAAATTTTAATGGATAAATGTAAAACTTACAGTTTTCCAATGTTTTAATATATGTTACAATGTCCTCAGATAATAATTAACATAATTACATAATTCAAAATGGTATCATTCTTTTTAGAAGACCCTGTATTTCAGAGCAGATTAAATTTCTTACAACATAAGAATTTGTAATTATAATCAAGATGTGTCTACAATTTATTATTTGTAACATCTCACATTAAATCCACATTTTATGGAAATCCTGGAAAACTAGTTTACTAAACCCAACATTGGTCCTAGAAAATGAACAAAGTCAATGTTGCAAGATCAAGATTTTTATGCAGTATCAAAGAAATTTGATTAATCAAATCATATTACAAGAAAAATTATAATGAATTACAAAAGAAACTATCAAATATCTTCCAGAATAAAAATAAACAAAATGTATAATTAAAGAACTATTTATTTATAAATATAAACATCCCAAGCCTAATACTTATGTAAGGCAGAGGGTGCCTCCGCTTGACCTTTCCCCTCTGACCTCACTTGGTCCTCGGACGCCGAATAAGAGGGACGCTTTCATTACGCCGACCTTTTGCTTTGGTTTCACCAATCTCTCGGAAAACTCCGACAACGAACGCGCATTTGTACAGTCATTTAACTTAGGCATTTGTAAATATTACATAGGCACAAGGAATAAAATAAGGTATTTCCAAGGAATCAGTTTCCTCATTAATCTTGTCCGACGAACAAAGGACGTGGAACACGTGGGCGAGATCGGAGCTACTATCATACGAGGT